TTCCAGCAAGAATCGGAAGAAACCCGTTGCTTTGTATGACATTGGCGGACAGGCGAAAGATCGCGTTCAGATAGGATTTGCGGAGACCTCTGGAAGCCGCAACAAGTATGAATTTGGATTTATAAACCTATCATTAATTAAAAGGCCTAATTTAGGCTGTGCATTCGTCGAATGCATAGTGGTAACATTTATGGTATGGTTGATGGTTCGATGAATTATGAATTGCCCAAAACTATACAATCAGTTTTAAAGAAGATCATTTCTTCCGCTGTAAGTACCTTTGCTCAGACTACGGCTCTCAGTGCAAAGGGTCGAGCTTTTCCTGTTCAGGACCACAAGAACGATTTGCCAGCGATTCTGTTGGAAGCTCATGAGGCTCTGGAAGAGAGTGGAGAGCGGCTGGGCGCCAGTAAGTGATATTATGTGGTTTTAGAAGATTGAGGATTCGAAATAAAGGGAGCCATGCTTACAAATAGAACTCTGTTTTACAAATCAGAAAGAGTTTGAGAGCTTATCAGACTTGATCCACATATGTAAGTTGCATTTATTGAATAGAATTTAGGCTGCATACTTGTACACATCGGTCCGAAACTATCAATCTCATATGTGGGCAATATCGGTGCAGCAGTGATAGCTAACGGAAGTTTGGAAAGATTGACAGAACCTAGTGAATTGGACGAGGATCAATATGATCGCATACGATCTGCTGGGGGAACAGTTGATGAGGTTCGAGAAAATTTGCTACCCTTTAGATAATCTCAACTAACGATTTTAGAACAATATGATTAACGGAATAACACCAAATCAACGACAGCTTGGATTCTACAGTCTTCACCCTATAGTGACGCCAAAACCAATCAATAAATCAATAGCGATAACCCGTGACATCGATTATATACTTATGGCGAGCTCAGCAGTATGGGAATTTTTGAGCGATGTACAAATTGCCTCTATCGCAACAACTGCTGTGAATCCACAGATAGCAGCAAAGACAATTCAGGTAACATTGTTGTAATTCAGGATATTTTAAAGTTTTGCTGGCGAAACGCCCTTTAGGATGCTCTCCAAGCTTGTGACTACAATGGAAATTCTTGCGTAGTTGTTATGAGATTGCTGAAACCTGAACTCGCTTTCAAGTGCACATCGGCCTCTCTTATGGGAATGTCCATACCTCCTGTAGTGCCTCCTATGAGAGCTGAAAATAGTAAGGATCCAGAAGAGACTACATTGCAGAAAATCGAGCAAAGGTAGGCAGTAGGATAGATAATTTAGAAAAAAAAGGAAAAGGAAATCTAAATCATTGTGAAAAAGTTTTAACGGTGAAATACTAGATGACTATATGAAGATGAGATAATTTTAAACGATCTTTTCCTTCAGATTGGAGAAGATCACCGAGGTTATAGCCAAAATGGAGGATGACACGATACATGAAGATACGCGTGTTTT